GCTGTCCGCTAAAATTGTTTTTTTGATATAGTTAATGGGGTGCGGCACACCCCCTTGACTGCGGCCGCCGCAGCTTTTAAGGGGGTGTGCCGCACCCTATTAACTATATCATAAAAACATTTTTAGCAAACCTTGTTTATATGGATCGATAGCCTAGATCTCCTAGTTTTCACAGGAGTGATTTGAGCCTGATTCGTTTTCTCTGCTCTGAGCAATATTTGGTGAAAGCACAGTCATCAAAAGCGGAAAATGGGAAAAATGAGATTTTGGTTAGCTTCTAATTCCACACTCTGGAGGCCTTTTGAAGCGGGATTTATGAGGTGAACAATGAAGGAGTAGTGCTTTGTCTTGAGTGCATAAACGGAAAACGAAAACAGAGCTAATTCACCTTTGAAACAAAGTTAACCATGTTGGAATATGACCATTTCACTCAGGTAGCATAGAATCTTGAATCTTCAGAAATCGCTCAAATTTGTCTACAGGGGTTAATTAACATGCTAATTATGGATTTGATACGAATATCATATTATCACTATTATCAGATTACCCAACTACGACCCCCTCCCCTTTTGACTCCTCAATACGACCCCCAGGTGTGGCGTGCCGCACCCCACTCTTGACCCTGGCTATGACACATGGAGGTTTAACAAGTTCATCTTTAAAATCAGGGAAAGTCCGCAACCCGCATCTACGCGAATCGTGGAGACGATCATAAAAGCATTTTATCGCAGACTCAACAGAAAATCTAGATTCAAACTGTCAAAATGCACACATCTCATGCTAAAGTATAGCTATTAAAGAAGTCCACTCAAAACTAGAAAGATGAAAATTTGAAAAAGACACTAAAAGTGGCTTACATGAAAATATGCGTGACAACAAAATCTATGTTGCTCCTATCTTCTACAAATGCGTCAAAAAAATCTTGTAGCAGTACGCTTTTGCGCAGTGTTTTTTTAAAGCTGGGACTCTTTTCGAAAGCTTTTCAAAGTTTTACTTACGATATTTTTTTCTCACACTTCGACTGCAAACATGGCAGGGCAAAGGCTTTCAATGTAAGACAAATGAGGTAAGCTTTTGAGAGAGGAGTTGCAATTGAGGCGATAGTTATGTCTGAAATTTTTCTTGGGATGAGTCTTAAAGACACCGTCCACCCAAAATGGAGTTTTACCTTCAAGTACATTCAAAGTCAAAAAAAGCGAACGGGGAGTGATCATTTGCAAAGTGAAGTTTTCGAGCATTCTAAGAATTGGAAACTTAATTACGGATAATTTAGAAGAACGTTCGAATTTTCTTTTCGATTCAATTTGAGTCTTGAATTAACATCAGATATAGAATTCTGTTGTTGGGTTATTCGAATACAGCTGATCCAAAACGTATGGTTGATACATTATTTATTTCGCCCAATCTCATCTGCCATCTTACCGCTATGTAAATAGCCGGATCTTCTTCTTTTTTCGGAGACTCCACATGCCCCTGATGTTGTTGCTTTTTTTGCTTTTTTGATGCTGTTAACGCCATGTTTAACGCTCCAGCGATAACGTACAGGAGCACTTTCATGTGTACTGGAACATAAAATTGTAAAAATTCGGAAATAGCCACTACGTAATATATTTTGGAATCGTTGTTTACCCATTAACATCCCTGGTCCGTGGAACATGGCAAACGAGGAGGCCGCAGATGGAGAAATTATGATGAAATACACTGATCTTTGGATTTGGATTGCTGCCAAGTGGCGTGCGTTGTAAAACGCTGCCAAATTTCATAACGAGTGACTAAGCATATTTTCGTAAAAGGGTCACCCGTATTTCGAAAGGCGATCATGAGTGTCGCAATGATTTTGAGAATATGTCGCCAGTGTCCGGGTGTGTTATCTGTACCTCTTTTTTCTCGAGCTTGTCATCCCAGAATGTGTCCTTCAAATATGTTGTACTCCTATTAGTTGCTTTTGAAATGATGCCAAATTGCGTAAAAGCGTGACTTGAGCTAAATTCATCTATGTTCTCAACTCTTGGTAAAAATGCTCTAACTAAGAACAGTCACTTTAGGATCATTTTGCTTCCGCGTATAGACAAGAGAGTGCGTGAGTAACTTGTCCTCGCTGGTACTTTTGAAAGCGTTTGTCTAAGCAACCTTGCTTTGCTTGTGTATTTGGGTCCCACTGGTGCTTTCAACTAGGTATCGGTGTGTAAGCGGCACGTAGGGCAATTCGATTCGATCGGGCAGGGAAACAGATTTTTGTGCGTTTGGGGCAGTTCTCAGATTTGAAAGTCCTAAAGTGACATGTACGACAATTTGCAAATACGCTGTAAATACTTGAATTCGTCGTTTTGTTTTTGTTTGAGTCGTAGTTGGTTTTTCTTATATATATATATATATACGGTCTTCAAGCGGCACATAGGGGCATAAATTTCCTTTTTGAATACTTACTATCTGTCTGTAAGCGGCACGTAGGGCAACTCGATCGGGCAGGGAAACAGATTTTTGTGCGTTTGGGGCAGTTCTCAGAATTGAAAGTCCTAAAGTGACATGTACGGCAATTTGTAAATACTTGAATTCGTCGTTTTGTTTTTGTTTGAGTCGTAGTTGGTTTTTCTTATATATATACGGTCTTCAAGCGGCACATAGGGCATAAATTTTCTTTTTGAATAGTTAATATCGGCCTGTAAGCGGCACTTAGGGCAACTCGATCGGACAGGGAAATAAATTTTTGTACGTTTGGAGCAGTTCTTATAATTTTTAAACGGTCTTCAAGCGGCACGTAGGGCATGAACTGTCTTTCACATAGATAATATTGGTTTGTAAGCGGCACGTAGGGCAATTTGATCGGACAGGGAAACAAATTTTTTATATGTTGATTGACGGTCTTTAGGTGGCTCAGTAGTGTGCTTTTCGGGGAGTGATCTCCTTTTGTAGTAAAACTTCGTATTCCTTTGGCGAAAAAATCGAGGGATTCTCCGAAAAAGTCCTTGCACGGTTGATTTCGTAGCTGTCGGAATTAAATCTGAGAGAAAAGTGTTTTTCATAGTCACATTGTTATGGGTGTATTTCTACAAAACTGTAGGTGTTCTGCTACTTACTCAACAATCTTTTATGAAACTTGTTGAGAAGAACTGGAAGAGCAAATTTTCTCTTTGAGAGGGTAGAAAAGTCGGGGGGGGGGGGAGGGGGGAGGTTATCTGAATGTCTCTGAGAGGAGAGGAAATTTGCAGAAAGAACGTGGTAAACGAGAGGAAAATAATATTCTCCATGCATTGTTGTAGCAGGAATATCGAGAAACGCTGAACGATTTGTGGAGATTATCGCTTTTTCGAGCAGTTCTCCTTTTGTAGAATGCTTTTCGCAAAATAGTTCTCAGGAAAGGAATAGGAAACTTAAGAAATATTTATAGTCACAACTAAGCCCTTATATTGTATCTGCCCCGACCCACTTGCTAGCGACCCTACGGGTCGCTAGTAGCTATAACATTTGAAAAATCGAATTGTCAGAATTTTGCATGTACGTGCGCGATCAATATCAGAAGCATTTCTGAACTCTTTCAGTTATACCAGAGATAAGTGTCCGCACCTCGCACTACCTTATTGCATCTTTTACATAAATGGGTGTAGAGCAGATCTGAGAAACTCGACTTACAACAAATGACTATTTTGTTGTAAGTACAGGGTGTTCCAAATGATGCAAGGAACATTTGATCTGTAATAACTCTCTCCTATGAAGTGCTTAGCCTTCCTTCAAAATATTATAGCGCTGGCTTCAACTCAGATTTACAGATGGAGTGAACCATAGCCGCGCTTTATTGCTGTAAAATTACGGCAGGAATTTGGGAGAGGGTTTGCCCTTTGAGGGCCCTATCTCTCAGAAAGCAAACCAAATAAGACGAAACCTTTTACACTAGTTCAATCAGAGCCGTTTTTTATTGTAAATCTAATAAGTGAAGTTGAAGTAAGTTGAGTAGAAGTCAGTTGTAAGTTGAGCCATCTCTACGATATGTTTCAAAGGCAAAAGATTTTCATGCAAGAGAGTCACTACAGATCGAACGTTCGATGTACTATTTTGAGACACCCATCTGGCACCTAGGTATCTCCGGAAAAGAAATTCGTGCCCAAGCTCTCATCACTTTTTGCCTTGTATCTTCGTTTCTCCAGACGACATACCTCATCAAATCCTTCGACATCTCCACTTCAAGTATGCTTTGTGAAGTGGGAAGCTACGTAGGAACAAGCCATACAAGGAGTAGGTAGATTTCTCGATCGCTTTTCTAAAGTATCTATTGAAGCCAGTAGAAGCTTGATTCTATCTTTGCACGGTACTCGCAAGTCGCTTCGTGGATTAGAGAATAGGCTCTCCATCGGTATTTGATGGATAGACAAAAGCAAATGTTTCCAGATCGCTTTGAACTAATAAGGTGAACGCGCGATTTCAATAAATAAAATTTTGCTTTTGTCTAGAAACCTTTTTGCGTTGCGCTTAGGTGTAATATCCTCTTTCACTAAATAAAACTTGTAATATCCTCTTCCACTAAATAAAACTGTCTCAAATTTGCTGAAGACTTCTCTCGCACTTCAACCTCTCTTTTGAGCTACGACAAACGGAACAGCTTGGTTAAACGTTTCTAAGAGGTCGGATCATCCGATCGTGCTCTGATTATATTGCTATTATCCCTCGATATATCCAACAAAAAGCCATCAAGATCCTAGCCGAGATACCAATAAAATTAATTGTTTCGTAAAGAGTTGGGATCGCAAAAGGATTGAGGGCAAAGATTTTCATTTCTATAGCCAATGTGCGCAAACATCATTTTTATTGCCAGTCCAATGAAATAAAACCGGTGCAATCAGTTATCTCATTAAATGACCTTCAGGAACAAAACCCGTACGGTTCCTGGTAGAAGCCATTCATGCAAAACCGGTTTTTCTTCTAGGACTTTGAGATTTCCGCACAGTTTCGAATGAAAAATATGTTGTAGATAAGATTGGACAAATCCGTCGCTGGAATATGCATGAGGAAATTAAATATCTTTATCTTCTCTCGACAAAATGTACAGGCATATAGCATCTGATGAAAGACACCGGTATTTCTGGCGATATAAAATATATGTAGTCTCTGATGCCGGCACGGAGACATATGAATGAACGGCGCGATGATGATGATGTATGGATATTATAACGACTGAAGGAAACAACGATGAAGTTGAGATTTAGAAAGAAGTAAAAAGAGCTGATTTGAACGAAATAAGTGAGATAAAGTCATGTCATTGACATAAACAGTCATAAATAAACTATGCACACTACTCAACTACATACATTAAAAAATACTGATTAGAAACAAAACGAAAGAATAACAAGCGACGTAAAGATCTGAGGTGAGCTCACAAAATCGTTGTGAATGCTGCGAAATGCAGCTGGCGTCACAACGCAGCATTATTTAGGCACTTGTGCGGACTTTGTGTAGTGTATGTTCAGACTGCAATTCAAGTATAGTCTGCTTAGTCCTCCCAGGTGAGCGAGTGACGATTTCCGACGCGCAGTTGGCAGTTCCGCTTACCATACCAATTCACGTAAGCGAACTCAGCGTCTGAGACGATGGCGTTGAACCGTCCGCCAAACTTAGCGGCGGCGTCGCTTTCAATCTTTCGTGCTGCTTCAAGGTTGTCCTTAATAAAAGAATGGATTCAAAACAGACTTCATGGTCTTGTGAAGAATGGAAGCTATCTATAACATCCACATATCATAAAGTTTCACGTACCCTTTCTGATGCAAGTGCTCCTTCCACAATAGCTTTTAGCTCAGGATCATCGCAGTTTCCTTCGTCGGCTGCATCATTTGAGTAGTCGACTTCATTCGTTGCTGGAGCAGCTCCCTAAACTAGCTGCATCAACTTCTGATCAACTAAAGTGCTTCCTTCACGCTTACAGATGTTGCTTGATTGTTATCTACAGTTTGCTGCTCTTCTACAATATCATCATAGCTGGATTCCTCTGCAAATAACCATTCGGATCAAAAAGGTTCCATCAGGTTCAATAATCTGCTGCAAACCTTTAGGTGTCTCAGTAACAATGTGAGCGGTTTCTACAACAGTAACTGCTGGAGCTGGGGCTGGAACGGAGGTCATTGCGGGAGCTGGGGCTGGGGCAGGAGCTGGCTGTTGATCTACTTCTTGATGATCAGAAATTGAAGAATCAACCGATGCAGGCGCAGGTTCAGGTTGCGTTTCAGTTTGCTAAAACAAAATCTATGGTTATCTATTCAAGGCATGATTGATAAGCAAGTCTTACTTGTGGCTGTTGCTCGGTAACAATACTTAATTCTTGTTGTGGCTTCACATCAACTTGATCAGCTTCGACTGGTCCCTGCTGATAAGTGGGAGCTGGAGCAACCGGTGAGATTTCAGCTTGACCTCCCATAGTAACGCCTTGATAACCCCCACCTCCTCCTCCGCCACCCATGTAACTTCCTCCACCGCTGACTCCAACTGCTGGACCTTGGCTGTAGGCGCCACCGCCTCCTCCACCGCCACCTTGTCCGTAGGAGCCTCCTCCTACGGCAGCACCTCCACCTTGATACTCTCCTCCACCTACGGCTCCTCCGTAGCCACCACCTCCTCCTCCCATTCCGCCTGCCTGATAACCTCCCGCACCTCCGGAAACGCCAGCTTCGCTGCCGCCACCATATCCGCCACCACCTCCTGGCTGAACCACTACTGCTGGAACAACAATGGCAGGAGAAGCATACGGACCTCCTGCACCGGCACCCTGAAAACAGACATTTGGCGTGAATAGCAGAAGTTTAGAGTTTGATGTACCTGATCAGCTCCTCCGTATGATGGTGCCGGAGCTGGTGCTGGACCACCATAAGACGGTCCTGGTGCTGGACCACCATAAGACGGTCCTGGTGCTGGGGCAGGTGCTGGTGCCGGCGGTGGTGGCGGTGGCGGTGGTGGTGGTGGCGGTGGAGGCGGTGGTGGGGGTGGTGCAGCATAAGACGGTGCTGGCGCACTGTATGACGGAGCTGCACCATATGAAGGGGCTGCAGCGTATGAACCACCTCCACCTCCTCCGTAGCCTCCGTAACTGTAATAAGAATATTTGTGTATAGAATAGCTGCATTGTAAAACTGTCATATATGAGCTGCCAGCACTATATAGACAACTAATTCACTTCCAAAAAATTGGGGTCAATGGGATTTGCGTCGACGTTGTCTAAATCTAGTGAAAGTATGTCAAGAATTTAAAAAGAATGCACGCGTTAGGCAAGCTTCCAGCTTGTAAGTGCAGATCTCTACAGCCAGTTTATATCGAATCTATGAGGAGTGCTCCTAAGCATTGAACATTTCACACTTGAGATCACCTTGGATTCATACGTACTTCCTCCTGTTCAAAAAGCGAACTTGCCTTGATTGCTAGTTGCGTAAGCACAAATTCAGCAAATGATGTATTGAAACTCTTAAATTTTGCAAAAGTTGCAGAGAACCTGTTAACAAATGGGATCCGCAATTCGATGCGCTTAATTGGTCCCATTAACATTCTCGCAGAGCTCCGTTCAATCCTCGTTCATCTCCTCAATTTAGAGCTTTGTATTAGCTCTCATAACCAAGAAATCGCCTCAAAACGCAAATCTCGTTTGCTGACTGAATCATTCCTAGCCATTGATCAAGAAATTTTTTGCTTCGGTTTCGGCTCAGCCATGCATCCAAAACATGTCGCCGTCGTCACTGTGACATTGTAGGATCGGTCGCCCAATGGTGGCCTGTCCAGCTTTTACGATTGCCTTTTTTTAACGCACGAAAACTCCTCCACAGAAGACAATCGACACGATGATTGACGCAATTTACCGCCTGCTCGTGTATCCTCCATAAAAAACAAACTCATGGATCTCGTAAATCACAAAGGTCAAGATACGTAAAGTCGCAAATTTTGGTGGGCTTGATTTGTTCGAAATCTCAACATAAACCTTAAAGTGCTGTCTGTTTAGCAGAGGTGAAAATTACTAGTTCCAATATTTTTCTATGTTTTAGTTACGATCCATCCCTCCCCCGACCTCCAGAAAAAAAAACAAGCACACAAACTGTCACAATTAAATCTTCTCACTTATAGAAGCAGTAAGAGCAAACATAGTCAAGTGAGTTATTCGCAAATGCTGCCATGTCGCATGACAGTTAATCTTCTATTGCAAACATTACTGAGAAGTCATCTTGATACTTTCAGTATCGAACATGCAAAAACTTTTTCATAAGGCAACTGTAAGAAACATTTTAAATGTCTTTGGAAAAATTATGCGTCTCATTCTCAAATTGAAAGAATGTGTCGGCAGGATTCATCAGTAGACTATTATGCACTCAACCCATAAACCCTCCTCCTTCAAAACCCTGGCAACATGGCAAGCAGTAAGGGCTATATTTACTTCAGCTCACACACACTTTTGCCATACTTTGACACAAAAAAGACGAGGCTAAGATAGTTTGCGGAAATCACTACATTGTATTTCAAGGAGTTTCCGGTTTCTATAGAAGGTTCCACGCTTCTCATGTCTTCCCCTTGCGTGCGGAAGCATTCTTTTGATGTAGATAAAAAGGGGAACATGTTGATAATTACTTCTGCTTTGTACCACTTCCACTCAATGTGTGAAGTGGACATAACCCATCCGAATTCCGCATCTCAGATGAGATCCCTTCGAAAATTCCCACTTAAACCGTCCATTAGCCGCAGTCGACGCCGAGCGCGTGAGTACCCACATGCCGATCGTCCAGTTTTTCTATGGCACCCATACGCGCATGCTGTGCTTCAGCGCGGCGGCGACGGCGACGACGGCGGTGGTGGTGGTCGGTGACGGGTGTATCGAATCGGATCGCCTTGCGCGAATCTAATGAAATTCGCCATCGAGCAGGTTTGCCGACGTTTTGACGATTGCGTACATGTATTCAGATGCATTTACCCACCAAACATGTTTCACGCTTATATGCAATGCCTAAAACGTGCAATCACCATGGATGAATGCCTTTTGCTGGCACACGTTTTTATGCATAACGGATGTACATTGTCATGAAAATGCCTTATATGCGGATACGACGATATTACATTCCTGTGATATACGAAAATGAGAAGCTGGCTATAAAGCCGACATTAATTCTGGACGTATTTTTCACACTCCGCCTACTTTCACTTGTGGATTTGAGCACATAATCGCTAATTAGACCTACGAATGTAGGGCACCTCACGCTGCGAAACAAAATTGCACGAAAACCATAATTTCTTTCAACGTAATTGCTTATCTTAAAGATTTGCAAACCACAATCTCAATAAGCTATTGACGAAGATGCATCGATATCTTTTTGCTCTGAATGCCCATGACTGAGGCCTTTTAGATTTGTGCCGAAAGAAAGAGGCCTTTTGAAGTATGCCAAAAAATCTGGGGCAACCGTGTCTTGTTTGCAAGGTACAGAGGACCATATTGAACTCGTCGCTACACCTAACGAGAACAATCATACTTTTTACGAGATGAGTGAATGAACCGCGCAAAATTCAATGTTCCGCACTAATTTGCACAGAATAGAAAGTGGAAAACAATTCTCGAGTATATATAAAGTCAGCAAGTAAAGGCTGTGAGCGAAAATAAACTTTGTTCAAATGGACGCTATATTTGACATTTGACCTCCACATTAAAAATGGTCAAAGTCTTGCACAAATACAGTATAATGCATCTCTCATCTTTCTTTATGATATCCATACCTTTACCTACCAATAAAGCACGTTGAAGCAGAGACTGAAAGTAATCTTTTCTACAGTGATCATCTTACAGCAAAGTTCAAGAAAATTGCATAGTTGCAAATAACCTTTTATGGAGAATATTCTGTCTGATCGCTGAAAAACAAACTCTTGACAAGATTTTGCCTGCAAAGATATTTTTTTGCGTGTTCCAATTATCGTAATTTTCTTATGGATCGGATCGTGTCTGAGAAAAGACAGATCCACATGCTTGCACGATCCCTCAATTAATGAGAGACACCTTTTGGAAAAGACACAAATCGCTGCGCAGCTTGAATGTCATTATATCTTGGATTTTAGATTACCCCCGATGTTTAGTGCAGTTTTTTTCGTCGAATCCTTTGCTTTTTCACCATAGATTCAATACTAGTTGAGCGAGATCTTAATGCTGAAACAGCGCGCAATTCCACAATCCCCTACGTAGCGCGAAGGTCTTTTTTCTGCTTCTCAAGACAGGCTTATTGTGGTAGAAGCAAGCGCTAGCGTTGAAATAACGTTATAACCAGCTTGCGGCTTTATTAGCAAATTCTTTCTCATAATGAGGCTTTGACGAAGTTCGGTTAAAAAATGTTCCTTCTATAGTAGCGGGGATTCTCAATCCTCGCGCAGCCAAGCATGGTATACATCCAACAAATCAATCGCCGCAGGAGGAAATGTTCAAAAAATTTGAAATTGGGGTCTAGGCTTGAAAAATATGGCAGCGAGACTCGTTCATCGGTCACCAGTGGATCGCAATTGCCCAAATCGGCTTCTCATAAACGCAATCAGCAAACTTGCTACAAACTTGATTTTCACATTGCGTAGGCCCCAGTCTGAACTTAGGAAAAGAATAAGTTCTTGTAATTCAAAATGACAATTAGAATTTATGTCTTCCGTTAGCTCGAGCAATCTAACATACGGAAGAAATGTATGGATTCCGCATTGACCAACAGCCTTTAGCAACGTAATAGCACACTTCAGAGCGTACTTAGGCAAGCTATGGAGTGATCTAGTTCAAAGCACTTGGGAGACCCAAAGGCCTAACGCACTAGGGCGCGAGAGATACCTGGTAGATATTTCTCAATCCTTTTATTTGAAATCTATTGCCAACGCTTTCATTTTTTTCACACAACTATAGAAGATCTTTGCTTTGTTCCGTAATGTAATTTAGTTCCTTAAGGGGAGAGAGGGAAGGTCAATTTCGACGCAATTTCAAAAGACAACAGCTATATGTCTGAAGGTCTTCAGTCAAACATCTCAGGAACATTTTAGAATTTACAAATTGATGCGTTTATCAAAACACAAGTAAGCTAACCTCGAACTAGAACATGGTGGGCCTACACCGCAACTTGGCTGTGATGGTGGACAACATTGAACAGCTGCACCGCCACCGCCTCCCATTCCACCTGTAGATTGGTAATGTTGGGAATAAAACGGTATGTAGAATGGTGCTTTTAGTAAGATATTAGTCTAAGGTTGAGACTTATTAGGTCAAAAGCGAAGGCGAAAAAATGTCTCGAATATTTACAAGCAGTTGTTTTGTTGACAAAAGTGCACGTCCGAAAAATTTTCGTTTCAAAAGTACAAGATGGCACAAAAAGCGGCGAAGGAAAATGGGAAAAGCAAATTTGCACAAATATCAAGTATGACAGGTGAAATGTGAGTAAAAATTTACGCACCAAAACACGCATACGTCGGTCCGACGACAAGCAGTAACGATAGAAGAAGACGCATTACCGTGGAATGTCGATGTTATGCCGCAGGCGCGAGCCTTTTCTAGGCGCCGCCCGGATAGCTCCGCCCACGACAGTGTTGGAGAGTCGGCGCGAGATATGAGAAAACCCAAGGCCTCACTGGAGGCGTGGGATAGGTTGCTGATATAGTGGTGTTTAACGCGTTTCTTTCATGGGGGTGAAAATACGTGCAGACCAGCAAAGATAGCCAGCAGAAAATTTACGCATCTTCATTATGTAGTGAAAGTCCGGCGGTGGATAGAAAACACCAGCTTTTCGCTCGGGGGCTGTAAACTTCAGAACTCTTTTTATTGTCCATTTTTATGGTCCTATGGAATAAGACACTTTTAGGGTCCCACTGCTGCCCATTACATATTTCTCCTCTTCAGAGGCATCAAATTAAAAACGCTTTCAGAATTTTCCCAACGAGCCAGACAAACCATTCTTTCGCGTTCTTCTACTTCAAAACTGATTCAGTCTGCCACTCTTAAGTTGCTTATAAGCTGACTTCTCCAAACTGTTCTAGTGCTTCCGTCGTGTCCACATAAGCTTCAAGAGAACTGTTGATACACTCAGACGGAAACCAGTTCCCTTTCCA